TTGTCCAGCTCACTGACATGTAGCAAATAATCGCGAAGACCATAGCCTGGATTAGGTGCACCTTGGTCTCTAGACTGACATTGTTGCCAGTACTCTGGAGAGGTCCCTGACAGCAGATTTTCCCAGTGCAATTAATCTTTTAATTTCCCAACTGGTGGTGCCAAGAGTGATGATTATGGAGCCAAGCAAGCTGTAATTGCTAATACCCCCAATCTCTTCTCCATCTATCATGGTGCTGCCAGTTGGCCCAGTGGTGAGAATCTTTGTCTTCTTGATGTTGAGCTTCAAGACATATTGAAGGTCCTTGACCTTCTGCAGCAAGCACTTCAGGTCTTCAGTAATAACGTAGGTTGTTAATGGATCTTCCTCCAATCCCACATTCCTCCTCATAAAGCCTGCTTCCCGAATGATCTGTTCTGCACATAGATTGAAATGGTACCTTGCTCTGTCCTGTGCCAATCACACTGCCTCTGACACACCCATCCCGATTACCCCAGTCACTGAATCAATCCACCTCATAGAGGGTCTTCCCCTCCTGTGCCATCCCTCCACCCTCCCAAGCATGATGACCCTCTCCAAGGACCTGTCCCTCCTTACAACATGTCCAAAGTACATCAGACGAAGCCCCAGAATCCTTGCCTCCAAGGAGCAGCCTGGTTTAACCCTCTCCAGGATGAATCTATTTGTTTTCTTGGCAGTCCATGGTATATTCAATACTTTTCTCCAGCACCACAGCTCAAAGGCACCAATTCTTCTATCCTCCATAGTTATTGTCCAACTCTACTTGGTTTAAAATCAAGAAAGGCATGCATTAGGGTGTGCCATACCCATTCAATCTGTATACTGAGCAAATCTTTGGAGAAGCTGGACTATATGAAGTAGAATGTGGCTGTCAGAATTGGAGGACCTCGTCAACAATCTGCATTGTAAAGATGATACAACCTTGTTGTTGTTGTTAGGTCCCGTCTTGCTTACAGAAAATGAAAAGAACTTGAAGCACTTTCCTGAAGATCAATACCTACGGCTTTCAATATAGAGTTAATCTCAAAGTAAAGAAAAAAGAAATCTTCACCACTAGACCAACAGGTAATATCATAATTGGTGGAGAAAGATTTCCTTTACTTGGATCCACATCAGCACTCTTGGGAACAGAAGTCAATACGCTTTTGTTTAGCAATCAAGGTGTTTGTGTTTAATTACAAGACCACCAGGGCTTTTTTTCTCTAGATACATAGATACACATGTATTATTTTTTTTTTAAATGAAGGTTCACAAAGTGATGGCTTTCATTCACATATGTATATTGCTAAAATAATATATTTCAACGACAGAAAAATAAGCGATAAAAAAACAAAAAGTAAGCACCGCGTGATCTGTTTCCTAGGGAAAAAATGTTTTTGATGGATGGCTACAAGTCAGAATTGCCTCATAGCCGACTCTCGTAAGGGGGTATTTGTTGTTGTTGTTGTT